TAAGAAATTATTAATTAATTAAAAGCTTTAAGAATATTCTTATAAATTATACTCTTATTTATTTTATTTAAAATAAAATTATAATATTAATCTATTTAGTTTAGTATATAGCTAACTCTCTATTTTACTAACTATTATTTAAAGATTACTATTATAATTACTATACTATTATAAGATATTATTAATTTATTTAAGAAATTAAGAATATTCTTAATAGATATACTCTTATTAATTTTATCTATAATAAAATTATAATATTAATTAATTTAATCTAGTACTAGTATAATTAAATATAGATTATAAATATAATATAGAAAGCTAAGGGATTTTATATCTATATAATTAATATAATAATTACCTATTAGTTCTTTCTACCCTATACCGCCGTAGGCTATTACAATTCGGCTTGACGTGAGCGTAGATGACTTCCGATACAGGCGTCTAGTCGTCTCGTAAACAATTTGGGGGGCACCCGATGATCTGATTCCGACAACTCTGAGGTACATGCCGGAACCCGGCTCGTAGTTGACTAAGAAGGAAGAAAGAACGGTTTAGAGCAAAGGGACGGGTTGTGTTTTGCCATTCGCAGGGATGGTTTACCAATTACCAATTGGTTCGTGATGATTTCTAAAGCCTTGCGGTCTTGTCATTGATCTCTGCACGGGTATCGCCGAAGTGTAAGCAAAGGTTTTATATAAAGGGTTCATCCTTGGCCACACGCCGACTGTTTCCTCACTACTTTATAAGCCAATATTGAGCCCTCAGTTCTCATTTCTCGGCAGGTGAAGGTTCCTTTTGCTGCATTACATCATACTCGTTGGACAAACACTCTGCGAACATGGTCTCTTCAGAATCGACAGCAGATGTAGTTGAGCTTGATGCTCTTATCGTGGGCGCCGGATTTGGTGGCGTCTACCAACTCAAACACCTCCGAGACGAAGGATATAACGTGAGACTCGTCGATTTTGCCACCGACTATGGTGGTGTGTGGTATTGGAATCGTTACCCTGGCGCCAGAGTTGATAGCGCCATTCCACAATACGAGTTCTCCGATGAGTCACTTTGGAGCGGTTGGAACTGGTCGCAGCGGTTTCCGGGCAGTGCAGAGCTGCGGAAGTATTTCGCATATGTTGCCGAGAAATGGGACTTGCGAAAAGATACCGAATTTGAAACCTTTATAACAGGAGCCACATGGGACGAAGATACCAACAAGTGGACTATCCGCAGTAAATGCGGTAAAATATACCGTGCTCAATTCTTCCTCCTTAACACGGGTTTCTCTGCCAAGAGGTATATTCCAGACTGGGAGGGTATCGACAAGTTTAACGGGACTTGGTTGCACCCATCATATTGGCCTCACGAAGAGCCAGATTTGAAGGGCAAGAAGATTGCTGTTATTGGAACAGGGTCGACTGGTATCCAGCTAGCCCAAGATTTGAGCAAGATTGCCGGAGAATTTGTTCTTTTTCAGCGCACGCCCAATATGTGCTTGCCTATGGTCCAGGTTGAGTACAAGGGTGGCGAGCAGTCGTGGCCAAAAAAGCAGTATTCACAGCTTTTTACCAGCCGGCGAGATAGCTATGGTGGTTTCTTCTTCGATTTTCTCGACCGTGATACGTTTGACGATAGTACTGAGCAGCGACAAGACACATACCAAAAGCTTTGGGACGTGGGCGACTTTCACTTCTGGCTGGCCACATACAAGGACATGCTCTTCAAGACTGATGCAAACAAGGAAGCTTATGATTTCTGGAAGGCCAAGGTTCATGCGCGCATCAATGATCCCAAACTCCGGGAGATCCTCGCCCCTGAGATACAGCCACATAGCTTCGGGTGCAAGCGTATCTCTTTGGAAAACGGTTTCTATGAAATCTTCAACAAGCCCAACGTTTCTATTGTCGATCTCAAGGCCACGCCAATCATCAGTGTGGACAAGACCGGAATTAACACAACGGAAAAACACTGGGACTTTGACTACGTTGTATGTGCTACTGGCTTCGATGCTGTTACTGGTGGCCTGATGCAGATTGATATTCGCGGCCCATCAGGCCAGAGCCTGCATGATAAGTGGGAGAAGGGCGTTAAGACATACCTAGGGATGGCTACTGTGGGCTTCCCTAATATGTTCTTTACATATGGGCCGCAAGCCCCGACCGCCTTTTGCAATGGTCCAACGTGCGCCGAGTATCAGGGCGACTTTATACTACGAACACTAAACACCATGAAAACGAAGAACATTAGGCGCATCGAGCCAACGGCTGACTCAGAGGCTAAGTGGGTGGAAAAAGTGCGTAAAATCGCAAATTCGTCTCTACTACCAACGACCAAGTCGGTAAGTGAATTTCTCTTCTCGACGCACACAACACTCTTCAATGAGAGAGACTACGAGTCTCCTTCTTGCTAAGTTGCATATAAACTAACCAACTGTTATTTGCTCTAGTGGTACATGGGTGACAACATCCCAGGTAAACCACGAGAGTGCTTGGTGTATCTTGGTGGCGTCCACACCTATTACCAAATCCTGGAAACGGAGGCCACGGCTGGGTATCCTAACTTTGAATGCAAGATTGCATCCTGAGGTTGTATGATATTGTCGGGTGCTATTAGTTGTTCTCCAATTCACCAGTGACAATGTACTCGCGGGGTTCGCAACCATGGAGTCCGTATTAGCACAGAGGACAAATGATACCACCTATGTTCATATCATACCGCATTCAGGAAATGATAGTGAGCAGTCTTTGGGGCTAGTTGAATGTATACCTGTGTAGCTAATTCGATGAGTACCTAAGCTTTAGTCCAAGGTGGCTAAAATAACTCGCGAGCAATACTTGCCAAAAGCGGAAAGTTCTGCATCCGGGAACTTTGCCAACGATCTGCAGGCAATTATTGCATTAGTTCTAAGATAACATGGCCGGGGCTTAATTGGATAACATGTAGTCTTTGCATGGAAGGGACTGACGTGTCTGAGGACTACCGCCTCTACACGTATTCGGGGTAACCTGCTCGGTTGTAAGCTACATGAACTAGTCAGATTGGTACATGCAGTTATGCCGTCGATGTGTGGGCATTTTTTCTCCCTAGGTATACACCACATCATGGTATTGGAGCCTAGCCTACTACACCCCAACTTCCCCGCCCTCCAGTTCGGTGATGGACGATTCGCGGAACCCGTAAGCCTGGCAGGCGGAGATCGCCCGGTTATCCATGCTGACTGGACTGAGCATATTAAAATAGATTAACATCCCTGGTCTTTTGCTTTAATGGCGGAGTGATTACTTTGTACTCTGATGTTCTTACTTGCCTTGCATATAGGTCACCTCGTCCTCCAACCACCCACCAACAACAGGGAAAGGAGTTTCTGCTCAGATCACACCCAGTGTGCACTATGCAATTCAATTACCTACACTTCGTGAATCCACATAGATCACGATACTAAGACAATTTGCTTCAAATCAATTCCTAGTCAACCAGAAATCCACGACGCTGAAGTTGATGGTTCTCAAATACTACGTTCGTTTCATAATCCACTCCTGTCAACAATATGCTCTCCGGCAGCAAAGTACCGCGTCGTCGTTGTGCGAAGGCTTGCTGGAGCTGCAAACGCCGTAAAGAGCGATGTGATTCAAATCGACCATGTGGGCGATGCGTCCAGCGTGGCGTAGGAGACGGATGCGCCAGTGTCGGCGACTCTGTGGATGGAGACTTGAGCTACGATGACTCTACGAATGACTCCGCTGACCGACTCTCTCAAAGTCCTCGACCGAATGATGAACTTTATACAACACCTGGTACAGGCGCAATTTCCACCGATGTTGGAGCAACCAGCTCAAGCTATAGTATACCTTTCGGCTCAGTGGTCGATGGCGGTACTACACAAGCACACTCAGCACATCTCATCCCGACCAAGCGAGACGAGTTCACATTCATTGGGGATGCGGCGAATCTAGTATTTTTCCAGATCATCCATCGCCTAGTAGCTCGAAACTTGGAAAGTTGCGAGCTTTCGGACGGGCTTTCATATCAAAATCTCGTTGAGGCTGCTCCACTGAGCCGCAAAAGGTGGATGTTGGAGGCTGCTCGAGATCCTCCTCACCCACCAAACTACGACGAGACAGTACACTTTCTAGAATGGTACTGTAGGGCCACCAACTGCATATTAAATGTCTTCAATGAAGCCGATCTGCACAAGATCTTGCTAGAGTGGCAGCAAGATACATCCCACCGCCGAAATGATAACCCCCTCGTCGCCGTTTTCTACCTCGTGCTCGCCATCGGAGCCCAAGCCAGTCCCAAAGACTTCGATGAGACTGCTGAGAAGTACTTTTGTTACGGTGCTTTCCTATCAACTACGACAGCAATGATAGACGCCATTACCATATCTACCGTCATGGCCAACTTGCTCATCACCATGTATCTTCTTAGCGCGTCACAACAAGATGCGGCATTTCTCTCGTTCGGCTCCGTTGTTCGAGCAGTCCACGCGTTAGGGATACACCGTCGAGAGATCAACGAGCTCCTGGGCCCCGACCAGTGCATGGCACGAGAGCGGCTCTGGAAAGCTACCCGTATATTGGACTCGTTCATGAGCTCGTCCTTGGGGAGACCCCTCTCAACAACAGAAACTCGAGATACTCAGGCTGAGCTTGATTATTCGCCCTCAACTGATTTATGTGCCATATTTGAGATCACATTGGCCAGGGTCTATTGTACACGAACAGCAAGCTCGAATGTGATGCAGGAGATCAGTGCACGCCACCGAACGTGGGCCAGGAGATTCTCGGCCGGACTCGCTATCGATGACATCCAGCCTGAGCTGCTTATCAGTACAAGTGAAGGCAGGAAAATACCCAACATAGGGCTTTGCCACCTCAAGGAGGCATATTATTGGTCAATTATGCTTCTAACTCGTCCCTTTCTGATCGAGTCTGCCGCGAGGCATCTCGAACAGAGCGTGGACGGTGCCGTTGCATCAGACACACAGCTCCTAGTAGATACATCATCACCCAGTTTCATACTGGCGCATGCGTGCATTGATTCGGCCATCCGCACAGTGGATCTTCTCAGAGTCTTGGATTCTTATGATGAGATACCCAAGAGGTTGCCGTTCGTGGTCAACTCACTGTTTCTCTCTGCCTTGGTCCTTGGCCTAGCAGAATTAGGAGGGTTGGACCACACTCTTCCTGTGCGTAGATGTCTCACCGATGCTCAGCGACTGCTTTCGCGCTTCAGCTCACATGACGCTGTTGCTCAGAGGGACATCCTCATTGTGAAACGACTGCACAATACCTGCATCACGCAAGCCGAGAACCGCACCCAGCGGACCATGGCCAAGAATAGTGAGCGTTTTGGTGGGTTGTTCGGTATGATTCACGAATACAGAGTGCCTGTGTCTTCCGTAGCCGAGACAAACCAACCACAGAATACAACTGGTAATATGAACGAACATCTTCGCACCATACATGACAACCATCTCGACAAACAATGCCGCGCACCAACGCTGGACTACCCCCTAAGCCAGCCCCATCTATCGATCCAGACAGATGAACAAGCCTTCGAAATACTTCCGGATTTTGATACCATGGCAAATCTTTTCATGCCTATACCCCCATCTATTGCTCATTTAGATACAAATAGTGATGTATTGAGTACCATTTTTCGACCTGAAGGGGTCTCCTTTCCCTTTCAGCCTGGCATGGTCGCTGACGAAGGGAATGAATCCATTTGTTGGATTCACTAGTATTGGGAGGGTCTATGAGGCTATAGATGCTGTAAACCTACGCAAGGATAGCCTTCTAGGCGATAGGGATATGTTATACCTAGACGAGCTGTATATTCCCAAAGCCGGACTAGAGGGTGCCTAGTAGAGGGCTTTACTATAATTTTGAGGTTTCTAAATTATCAAGTTATCAGAAAAGCAAACCGTTAAGATCACCGGCAAGGTCAATTGGCTTTCTCCTCAGCTAGATCGTTCCAGAATAACTGCACTTCTATCAATGGTGCAGTTTATGAGCTTCACTAGTCGATTAATCGCATGTTGGCAGTTCCCCGTGATGTACCTACCAGAGAATAAAAACAACCAGGCCAATTGATCTCAGAGCACTCAGCAAGAGTGAAGTAGGGCACGGACAAAAATTCCTTCGACACAATGAACACGTTCCCACATCATTCATCATCATCATCCGACCCCCCATCAGAGGTACTACTTGATTGATTCTCCCACAACTCTTCTTTTTGCCTTTATAAAATAAGGATATTCCAACATGGGGCTATCTATTAGCTCTCTTCTTCCATTTAGATGGCGGCTGTGGCTTAGTGAGTTATTCTTTGCTCCTATCGCTGAGGGCGTAATAAGGCTCAGCTAGCACCGCGTGGTAAAAGGCCCCTTGTGTTACCCTCCCGAGGTTGAGGCTATGTAATACATAGCTACCAACACAAACGTTCCAATCTCTCAACTCCATGGCACCTATATCCACAATGGAGAGTTGTTTACAGAGATGAAATATGTTCCTGGCGAGTCCCTAGCTGTTGCCTGGAGAGACGGTCTCTTGACTCTAGACCAGGATTTGACTATCGCCGCAAAGCTGAAGCAGTATATATCGACTTTGAGGGCCCTTCGTCCCCCATCGGATTTGATCTGCTCGGCTTTCCAGAATCCTGCCATAGACTGTCGCATCGCTCGATTCTTGGAACATCTACCCCTAGATGAATTTCACTCACTCGCACGAGGACATTTGCATAGATAACTGGCGTCTGATAAGCCAGGAGATGGAAGCGACGCACCAAACAAACTACAAGATCTGCTTCGCTCATGCGGACCTCGCTCAAAGAAACATCATGGTGAAAGATGGAAGGCTAGTTGCAATTATAGATTGGGCCATTCCGGGATGGTATCCGCAATACTGAGATTATACCAAGACACACTTCATCTAGAATGAAAAAAAATTGGTATCAGTTTATTCCTTCAGCTTTCCCTATCTACGAGAATGAGCTCACGACGGAAGCTGCCCTCTGGGAAAGTTCCCCGATCCTGGAGATGCCAGAAGGGCCTATATTTCCGAATTTAACCAATCAGGATCAGTCCCTTCGGACTTATGGATGCCTCAAAGAGCAGGCCGAGAGCTAACTGATCTATGGGCTATGCCTAGCTTGCAATCACGCATTATGTACGTCAATCATGCTCTACTCTATTCCTGTACGGATCGCTTTCCTCCTTCCTAACCCTACTTCAATTCCCCTGAAGGTGCACTAGGGCTGAGTATCATTCTTGAGCGTTCCTTTAGAGTCCGCAACTGTCTGGATCATGAGGGCTTTGGGTTGTTTAGCGGGGAAGTTGACCCCTATTGACGGGAAACTGGACAATTGAATGAGTCCGGATGTATGTAGGGCAGATATTAGATACACTTAAATAAGGCTAGAGAAACAATCGAGACCATAATGCCAAACCTTTCCGCGTCCTGCAGTAGGATACGTCAAGATAAAAGTAGGCAGATTCCTTTTTGCCTCCTTGCCGGCGGTAGACGGAATGGTACAGGTTTGTCCATGTTAACGATCAGAAGCTATCGAGATCCATGATGAACTCCCAGCCCGTGTCGAAATCCGCCGACACATCGTCTTGATAGGAGAAGAAGCCAAGTTCTGGCATGTGCTCCATCCCCCACGGCGCCTCCGAATACGCAGAACTCGGCAGCGCCAGGTCTTCAGTTGCGGGAGTGAAGTTGATACCAGTCGCCGATGAGAATGGCTGACCAGTAGGTAGAGCATCACTGTCACCTGTGTTCGAGTTCGTTATGAAGCTTTGATCAACCTGAGCGGTCTGGTCTACGGTTTGGTCGCCTTTTTTGATGACTGTGCCAAAGAACGGAATGCGGACTTCTTCGTCCGTGCTCGATCTTGACAGTAGCACCGTAAGCGTCTTGCGACATTGCGACGCGATTCGACAGTTTTCATAATTCTCCTGGCGTTGCAAGCATCGGATCAAAGACAGCACAGCCTCGATGTCATTCCCATCACTTGATATCCTTGGGCCGGAGGAGCTTGAGAAGCCTAGAAGTAAGACAATGGCGCCGGTGAATGCCATGAAGTCCACGAGCTTGCACTCAGACTGGCTCGGCTTCTCTGCATCGCTATGCAGGCTCAGGTAGCGCCTCAGCAGCTGTCGTGCAGACTCCATGCTGGCGGCGCGCACGATTGGACCATGCACAGAGTTCTCTTCGGAGCCGCCGAGGAACGGTAGGTAAATGTAAAGTCGCTGGTGGAAGAAGAAGATTTGCTGATGTAGCCGGATATGAATTTCGTCGAAATCGTGACCATCGGCTTGGGCCCGGTCAGGAAGCTCCCACCAGGTTTCTGGGAAAGACGTTGCAATGTCATTCATCTCCTCGTCCAATTCCAGTGTCTTCGAAAGGGAAGCCTTTGTCCGCGAGTGGTTTCGATCAATGACCTTTCCAGCTATCATCGCACAGCGGATGGTCATGGTCGAATCCACGTAGTTATTCTCGGGCTTCACCTCTAGGATTTGCTGATGGTGCATGTCAACAAAGCCGTACGGCAGCCCGAGGAACATGCTCATCATGCGATCTGCTTGGTAGATAGCCAGCCAGATCCGTCTCTTGGCTATTGATCGGAGGCCAGCCTGGTACAAGTCCTTTGATCTCATCAGCTTCCAGCACTCGTCTCTGCAACAGGATGTCGACATACCGTTAATTGCGCGGCCACTACTCCTCTACGATAGATCATCCATGATCTTCTGGGCTGGCCCTCATCCGCATAGAGTACGGCCAGCAAGATCAGGCACTCCAAGCCTTCCACCGTAGACATCAATGCCATGTCAGAGACAACGAGGCGGTCGACTAAGGTGTAGATGGTGGACCCATCAAGATCAGAGACGAAAGCGAACGCAATCGCCATCTTCCCCAGTTGTGAAGGCCGATCGCTTGTGTAGGCTCGCCTAACGAAGTCTGGGAAAGACTCAATCGTGGCGTCATATATCCCACGAACAGCTATGTGTACTCGAACCCACCAGCCTTTGTGTGCCAATGCAACTTTCATGATGGAATCGTAGGACGGTAGCGCTGCACGTAATGTCTCGCATATACTTTCCCCTCGGTCGGGTAATAGTGGCTCAGGCAATCTGCTGGAAACACGGGATGATGCAGGGCCACCTATTGAGGATTGAGACATGCTGCTGTCCCTAGTCAGAGGTGAATGAGATGGCATACGCGCATCGTCCGTCTTGGGAGATTTGGAGAGCTGTGCTGGCTCGTCAATGGTGAAGTAAAACTGCATGCTAACATGGGGGACGCACTCCAGACGGGCCCAAAACCGCGAGGAAGGGTGCTCGCTCATCTGTGACACTGTTTTCCAGAACTTCTGGGGCCTTCGGGATGCCTTGAGGGGCCTCACTGCTGCTGTTTCTCGGAGAGTCGGATTCTGGGCGCCGACGCAACTGCAGTCTCGCACCGTCACCGCTCTGGCTTATACATGCTGTGCGACGAGATCTGCAGTTGAAGCAGACTGAATCCCCGGGCATCAAGTCACATCGAATCTTTCGACGGCGGCCTAGACAGATACGCATGAGCTTGCGTGCCGAAGCAGTTGGGCGGGGGAGAGTGTCACTCGCATTCTGTGCAGCTGTGTGTCCCTTTCCGCATGGTATTACGTGTCGGCGTCGACGCGGATGCAGACGAAGGCATCCTTGAGGAGCCGCGAACCATGTCTGAGACGTTCGGATGGATACTTTCGGATATCAAGTCGCTGTGCGCGGTCGAAGTGAAGGGAGAGTTGTGGGTTGCCGCGGATGAACGAGCGAATTCGTCCGCGGACGAAATGGCCCAATGAGATGGAGCGAATTGAGCCGATATGCTCCACCTTCATGAGTGTTGTCGCCCGGCTTGTCAATGACTGCTGAAGGAACTTCGTCGTCGAATTACTAATGACTGTCTCTGAATCCAGGGATTGTGACAAAGTCCTTGGTCTGTTTAATAATCATCTTTTTCGTGCGCGGATGAGCCTTTTTATTTGGTCTGCTTGCTTAGGTAGGGCGTCATCGTATGAGCCCACACGTGTATATAAGAGTCTCCTCGTCACAGATCGATGTATTCTAGTTAGGAGCACTACCAAAACGCATTTCATACCCCCCCTGCCAATTTCTAGTAAAACTACTAGCTCGGTCTCTCCTCTTTATTATAATCTTTTCCGTTGAGGCACTACAGTTTGCGACAATGGCACCTCTTGTATGGCTTGTAACAGGAGCCTCGGCTGGAATCGGAGCTGCACTCGTCGACGAAATCGTCCGTCGAGGCGACAAAGTCATTGCTGCCAACAGACAGGTCGATCAGATGGCCGATCGCGCTTCGGACAATGTGTCGCTTCTTGAGCTCGACCTCACGTCTGGCTCCAAGGTTATTGCAAGCAAAGTCAAGGAGGCCTGGCAGATTTTCGGACACATCGATGTTCTTGTCAACAATGCCGGCACATTCTTGCTCAGTCCCTTCGAGGATGTTAGGTATGTTAGGCCCAAGTTTTGAGATCAAACATCACCATCTGACTGTGGTGCTTTCTGCAGCGATCACGACGCAGAACGCATCTTCCAAACCAACGTCTTCGGCCAGCTTCACATAACGCGGGCCATTCTCCCATTCTTCCGACAACAGGGCTCAGGAACAATCACTTTTACGGCCTCGAACCAACTCTGGGGCAACTTGCCTTACACGACGTACTATAACATGACCAAGTGGGCAAACAGCTCTTTTGCCGAATCGCTGCACAAAGAGGTCTCCTCCCTCGGCATCCGCTGCGTCGCTTTTGAGTGTGGCGGTGTTGTCACGCGCATGTTCGAACCGCGCGAGAAGGACAAAGTCGCGAAGCAAAACAAGGAGGACACGAGCCCCATCGAAGCATACGTCCCAGGGCTTACCGCTGTCTCGCAGGCGGTGGCTGAATGGGGAATGCCTCCAGGAGATCCTGTCAAGATTGCAAAGGCAATGGCCGATGTTGTCAAGGGCGAGGGTATAGCGGCTGGTAGGACTTGGTCTTCACGCATTGCTTTGGGTTCGGATTCCCTTCGATGGTGGAAGATTAAAAGACAACAGGAGGCCGTAGTGATGGATCGATGGGAGGACGTCACCATCAGCACCGATCGTGACGATGTAGTGCTCTCCGACAAGTTGGATCCCTTTGTTCTGATATCAGGGGCTGAGTAACTGTTCGGCATGATTAGACAAGCTCATATGGCCATCCTATATCGGAGTTCACGTCCGTATTATGATTTGGTTCCTAATTCACGCTCACTGCAGCTGCATTCGTTTTTTTCTTCCCCGCTATTTATACGAGGATCCAAGGTTGATTATATGATGCTCATGAATCCAGAATAGTTCGCCTCGAGAACCTCTCCCAACTCTACCCAAAACCTCTTCTGTCCGTCAAGGCTTTCCTGGCTTTGTAGTAAGTAATAAGCTGCACCAGGTAAGAGAGAATCAGAGTCAGAGCACCGTGTATTTTATGCTTTCTCAGCAGGATTCATGGCTTTTTTTCTAACATGTGGACCTAGTACATATTCTCAATCGAAGTAGATATATCATTCAATTTCTCATCTTGTCTGATATTTAATTTTATGGCACTTACGAAACAAGTTATTGCGAAGACAAATTAATTAACTATTTTCTTGTAACTGAAAAGCGGGCTCCCGGATCTTGACCAGGCTCCGTCCAAGTCAGGTCTTGAGTTTGACGAGAAGGAAACGTTACCTCCCAGGCACTCATAAACTCGACAAGCTTTGGCTCAGTCTTTGGCAGACCTAGCAACTGCGGCCCAAACGGATGTCCATTGATCTTAGCATATCCGAGTGGTACTGTGGCTGCTGGCATCACTACGTGAGAGGACCAAGAATGTTATAATTGTTTAATCCCACATAATTGACCTACCCTACACAACCTAAAATTAGTTGAAAAGTTCTGTTCTACTCAACTTTTCCAACTCACACTTCAGTGTCCAGTTGATCGAAAACCAGGTTATCATGGCGTCGTGCCTAACAACATTGAGACGAATGCCTGCTCTGAAATCATCGACCTTTTTTTCATCATATTTGGCTCCGCATCCTCAACAGTATTTAATTATGCCTTCCCTCCGGACACCCGGCAGCCTTCGTCACAAACTGCGGTTGTTTTCGACGCAGCTCCCACCATCGGAGCCGCGCACATTTCCCTCCCAAGGATTTGATGTCATTAACAAATCTCAACTCATTGAAGAAGAGGAAATGCCCGAATACAGACCGGAGCACTTTTATCCTGTCCGCCTGGGTGAAGTATTTCATGACCAGTTCCAAATAATGACCAAGCTGGGCTTCGGCTCGTCCTCCACCATATGGCTTGCACGAGACCTCCGGTAAGTGTCTCGCTAGTTATGATAAAAAAACTTAGCTTATCAAAGATATATAGTTACCATCAATATGTGGCTCTTAAAATCTACATTCATAATTCTACCAATCACCGAGAGCGTCCCTTTTATGAGCATCTTAACAAGGTCCTTCCCAGCAACCATCTAGGCGCCGCCAATGTCAGGAAGCTTGTGAACTCTTTTGAAGTATCTGGGCCCCATGGGAAGCACATCGCACTAGTTCTTCAAGTTTCTCAAATGAGTCTGCGTGATATGGATACGGTGTTTATGAGAGGTCGTGGATTTGACGAGGAATTCGTCAAAGGCGCCATCAAAGAACTTCTTGAGGCTATTGACTTTTTGCACACTGAAGTTCAGGCAGTACATACAGGTTGGTAGCGCTTCTTCCATTCGTATCTTTTATGCACAAGTTGCTAGATAAGTCGATGGATGATGAACTGACACCAAATCAGATGTACATCCAGGTAACTTGTTGCTTGGCTTGAACGATAACTCCCTTTTTAAGGCGCTGGAGGACAATGAATTCTCAAATCCTGTTCCTCGCAAAGAACTATCTGACCGAACTATATATTTCTCTCGCCTCATGAAGCCAAAGGTTGGCCCACTCCTTCTCTCCGATTTTGGGGAGGTCAGATTAGGACCTGGGCCCCATGTTGGCGATATCATGCCGATCATGTATAGAGCTCCCGAGACGCTCCTATGTATTCAATGGAGTTATCCAGTTGACATTTGGAGCGTTGGGCTCACTGTATGTTGAGAAAAAGTTGTCTTGCATTCTCAGTTTTGATTCTGACTATCCTCAGGCATGGAATCTCCTTGAGGGGCGGCCACTCTTCAGCGCCCTTAAAAGCGATGGGACCTTGTCAGACGGGGCGCATTTCTCCGAACTCATCGCCGCCCTGGGGCCACCACCTGCTTCGTTGCTTGCTAGGCACCGTGAAAGAGCACTAGAGTATTGGGATGAAAACGGTACGTGCATCAACATATGAGCTATTCTGGGACTTTGCTGACTATCCTTTTCATCATTAGGTCAATGGGGTGATTTTGTTCCTATTCCAACAGAGAAAACCCTGGAGGCATCTGAAACAAAGTTGGTGGACAAGAAGAAGTTCCTCCAATTCATACGAAGAACCCTCGCTTGGGACCCTAACGAGCGCCCAACAGCCAAGGAGCTTCTCCAGGATCCGTGGTTGGTATAAGGTGAATGAGATGGCTATCCAACGTCTAAGTATATTGTAACATTTTAAGTAGGGCTTATATGATTTGCTATATAGGTAAAGTCTATAACGTCGACTAGAGTCTGATGAAGCTGAATGAAAGAATGGATAAACAAAGGAAATCTATCTCGATAAGTGATTGAGGAGTCCTCTCAGGGATGTGGCCACAATATGGCCTGAGCAGGACATCGTGATCTAAAACTCTATACATGATGATTTGTATGACCCAGCAAATAGAGCTCATGCGAAAAGAACGTCTGTCATAGCTTGGCCATCATTTCCAAGGTGTATTATGAGTCCAAGCTTTGACTCTCACACATCTTCTTATACATACCGCCCTCTGCGATCAAGGAAGAGTGAGTGCCCAACTCAGCGATTCGGCCGTTGTGGAACACAAAGATGCAATCAGCGTCCTTGACAGTTGACAGGCGATGGGCAACAGCGATTGTGATCCTGCTATTAGATGAGGCAACCTCCATGAGCGCAGCCTGAACTACCCTCTCAGACTCTGTGTCAAGGGCACTCGTCGCCTCATCAAGAAGAATCACACTTGGGTTGCGAACCAGAGCTCTGGCAATAGCAATACGTTGCCTTTGACCACCGGAAAGCTGGCTACCACCAGTGCCGCAGAGTGTTCCCAGGCCATCTGATAAGGAACTGACAAAGTCCCATGCATTCGCAGCCCGGCACGCAACCTCAATGGCTTTATCGTCAACAGGTTTGCCAATCTCCGACATAGCGTCACTATCGACGCCCATGGCAATGTTGTCACGAATGCTTCCGGGAAACAATGTTGGCTCCTGTTGGACGAGGGCAACATGAGCGCGGTATAGCCGAGGGTTTAAATCTCTGAGAGGATGCGTCGAATCGATTACAATGGCGCCGCTAGTAGGATCATAAAATCTCTCAAGTAGAGAGATCATGGTGCTCTTTCCACATCCTGGGGCAATGTCAGTGACTGCACAACAAGCAAGGCGAATGGGCGAGGACTTACCTGACGCTCCGACGAATGCAACAAACTGACCAGGTGTGATCTTTGCAAATTTCTGTTAGTTTTGCCTTTCAGATTGGTGAGAAATGAGGGCTTACTTTGAGTGACACGCCTTTGAGAACACGATGGCGAGGTGCTAGAGGGTAAGAAAACTCTAGGTTGTCTAGGTGATAGGACTTGCAACCGTCAGAAGGACCTCTTTTCTCATTTTCGGCCGTTCCCAAGATGGATGGCTGGAGACTTTTGATCCAAAAGAAATAGTTTGCCGCCGAGTTGGCTTTTGTGAAACCTGAATGAGTGTTAGCCTGCTCAGTCCGCTTGTGTTGTGACGAGAACTCGCCGATGCACACAACCGGGCGGTGATGACTCACTGCTTGCGAAACTAAACAGCTGCCCTGCTCCTTGACCAGAAAAGTAAACAGCCATAAAGGATACAAAGAATTGGTAAAAAGTGATATCTCCTCCGGCTACTAGCTTAGAGCCGTACCAGAAGCCCAAGGCCAAAATACAGTACTCTATCGACTGTGTCAAGGAAAACCAAATCATGATAGTGAACAGAGATGCCTTAGATCCACGGATGGCATGATCCAGCTCATCCGTATATCTCCGGAGCACATCATCTTCAATGGCTAGGGAGGACACTGTTCGAATAGCAGTGACAGTTTCCGACGCAATTGAAGCACTGTTGGAGAATCTTGAATCAATTTCGGCATCCATCTTGGTCTCGAGTCGAATTCTTGCATAGCCTGATAATATCATGGGAGGGAACCCAGCACAGACACCAACAAGACCTAGTTTCCAAGAAAAGGCGATGGACATTATAGCGCATACAAAAACAGACACAAGCGCCATTAAAACAATAGCAATGGTGAAGCCCATGAGCTCGAAGATGGACTGCGCAAAGGAATCGATCTTGCTTGTTAGTGCGCCGACAGTGTTTTCAGGCCGATCAAAGAAACTGAGATCTTGGCGGATAAACGAAGAAAACATATCTTTTCGAACTTTTTCCGCAAGAGTCTGCGCGACGTCATCAGTGATTGCTCATGAAGGCGCAAGATTTCTGGAGTGCAAGGCAACAAACCTGAGCAAGGACATTGGTTGCCCAACCAAGCACGCCATAGATGACAAGCAAGCCTAACGCCATGACGAAGAACATGAGTGCTAGGAAGTTGGCTCTGTTTTGCATATCTTCGGCTTTGAACAAATCCATAACCTGACCGATAAGGACAGTCTGACCTGGGTAGACACCAGCTGATTGGGACAATTAACACCATGCTTTGGGTCCCTTTCTGGAATATGACATACTTACCTCCAATTATACAAGTCAAAGCCACGAGGATATACCAGCTCTTGATCTCAGGGGTAAACCTAACCAGTCTCCAAATCGTCCTCACAATGCCGGTACCCTCATATAAGCTATAGTCGCATTGTTTAGACAAGGCAGCCTTTCTATCAATCTGGCTCTGTTCCTGCTGTAAAGTATTGGTCGGTTTGAGAACAATGTCCTCATCAGTCACGTCGAAATCATCAGAGGAGTCTTGATCATTCTCGGGCGCGGAAAGATCCTGGGCTCTGACGAGCGAGGCATAAACGCCGTGCC